CTGGACATCAAGATGCCTAAATGCATGGCAAATGCCTCCTTTTATAGGCCAAAATTGGGAACTATTGATTTGATGACTAATTGATGAGTGGGTGACCAACTCTTGACTTGGTGACAATCCTTATCTTCTCTTGTTTGCCCAAAACATCATTAATAACGTATCACTTGAACCACTTGAAAATATGAAAGTTATAGGAAATTGTCTCAACTTTTCAAAAAAAAGAAAAAAAGAATAGAGGTCATTTGGACTTCTAGAACTCCAGATATGGGCCAACACTGAACAGTATTCGGGTTGTAGGACAGATTTAGACTTCTTTGTTGTTGCTACAATATGGACTTGAAAATGACCTTTTTAAATCTTAGGCTTCTATGAAATTTTTAGGCCTATGTCTTACGTTTCCATCCATATAAAGTAGATCTAAATACGAAATCTACAACTCCAGATATGAAGCAATTACCAAATAGTGTTCCACTTTGGGCTATCTCTTTTCTAAGTTTGGCTATCTCTTTATTTGTTCAATTTCAGTTTTTAAACTCATCAATCAATCCTTTCATTTATGTGATAGGTCTGCATTTAAAAAGAACATTTATCATAAATTAAAGGTATCTTATATTATTGGATATGTTATTATAAAACATGCTTTAGTTAAGGAGTTATTGATACTTTAAGTGCAAAATAATGATATAAAATCTTGATAAAAATGCATTTTTAGATGCTAATCACTAGCTTTATAAGGTTTATTGATGACCAAAATATGTAGGTTGCAGAAGATTTGATATTTTTAGGAATTGAAACTTCATGCATAGTATTAATGATTTGATGTTATTTTTTATTTCTTTGTATTTAACTATGCTTGGTATTGGTAATATGGTTTATGAGGACTAAAACCAATGTGTTTAAAGGCCTAAAAAGCTATATTTGAATTTTGGCAATAGTTCTTTAATTTTTAGATATTTTCTAGATTTTAGGTTCATGTTCTTTGTATGAACTTTGCCTTAGTCTTTGGAGCTGTTTTGGGTTTAGTGTTTATACGTACATGTTAGCATGTTATCTTTAACAAATAATTTAGGGTTATAACGCATCAATAGCCTGTATTCATGCATCTAAATTTTAGGGTTTTTTTTTTACTGCCCAAACACATCTTTATCATATCATGATTTTTAAGTGTTAATCGAAGAAAATGAATGCTTGATTTTCTTTTATCTATGTATGATTACAAACAAAACATTACCTTTGATTGCATAAAAACTTTTCTAGTTTGTGATTTGTGTTTACTGGATTTCGTTTTGAATATTCATTTTTTTCTTCATGTTCTTGGTGTTTGATATGTTTTTGTCCAAAAACTTTTATGTTTTTATGGTTTTTTTTTATATAGTTTTGATTTGTTTTTAGTTTAATTGTATGTTTGTTTTAGTTTTAGGTCAAAACATAGTTCTCGCTTCAGTTTAAGGTTGAACAAGTGTTTTCAAGTCAACCTAATTGATTTTATTTTGGGTAAGGTACTAAAAATTTGTTTGGTTAGTTATTCTTTTTGTTCAGGAATGTTTGGCTTAAAAGGTTGTTTGGCAAGCACATTCTTAAACCTATTTTGACAATTTATTTTGAATAAAAATGAATTTTTTGCCAAACAACCCTAAATAAATCCTTAAAAATTCTACAAAAAAATTCAAGGATCAATTTAAATTATTTATGAGTCCTACTCGTATTTTTTCAATAATTTTATTTAATATCAGGGTTATATATTTATATTGTAAAATATTAACCTAATATTAAAATACTTGTTTTTCATTGAAATCTCAAAAATTTCAAAAAAATTTATGAAAGAAATGTCTCATTTCAAAACTACAAAAATATATTTTAGTTGGTGTGCATTGAAGTAAGTCTCTCAAAAGATAGAAATCATATTTTGCTTATATATTGTATGATTTAGCATTTTTTATATACATACAAAAATTCAAAAAATATCTTTGCATGTATTTTTAGATTTAATAATTAATTTATTAAATCCATGAAATCTTGACTAATATTTCAATAACTCCTAAAAATTTTAATTCACGAAACTTAATGGTTAATATTTTAGTAAAAATGTTAGACCTATAAGTAGGTTGGCATTTAAATAATAGAAGTTGAGTTGAAATTCTCAAAATTATTTTGGGTTACCAGTTTTATTTAGAAGTATTTTTCATCATGATATACAAGTTGTGGAAAACTCATTTGCCTTCCATGATATGTGAATCTTGTTGAAACACTTACATGAATTCTTCCCACTAGAATTTATTTGGGCATTTAAGCACATAATGAATTCAAAATTGCCAGATTGATTCATGAGATTAAATTTTTATTCTAAGTCATAAATGAATCATCATTTAGAAACTCATCAATACCTTTAAGCCACATCTAAATCACACAATACAACTTCCTTCATACAAAGTAGGTTAAGAATACTAATATTTTTTTAGCTACAACTAGTCTTTTATTCTAAAATTTCATTTAAAATCAATCTACTCGGTCTTCTAATAACATGAACAAAATAACTAGGTAATGAATTTTTTATTATAATGCTGCAATTAAATCAATTTTATTTTTTAACATTGAGTTAATTAAAGATTAAGTTTTTTAATTTGTTTTTTTAAGATTATCCCTGCATATTTTAAATGCTACCTTAGAATGACTCTAATAAATTTAATATATTATTATTTTAATTTTAAATAAAAATATCATTTAATTTGGTGTGTGTCACATCTAATATGCAGGACATTTTAAATTTTTAATTAAATTTGTTTTTTAAGAAAATATGTTACCAAGGTGTCGATTTTATTTTTTTTACATTAAATTTTTTTTTTCGAGGTACAGCATGGCAGAGTCTGGTTTTCTATTCAATTTCTAGATCCCAAAATATAGCTGTAGCATCGCTGCTCAACTGTTGTACACAAGTAATAACAAAATAATGAACAGAATGCAAAAGACCTGATTTTAAGCATATTGTGAGCACATTCTGTTCGTTCATATGAATTTATTTGGTTGCCTTCGCTTCTTTGAGTTTGTTAAGGAAGCTGGCTTTTCCTGATTCACTAGATGCAAGTTTCTAACTAAAAACAGTATTTATTATATCTGTTAATAATACCATTCATTTGCTAAGCTGATCCCTTGTCTTTATTTTTGTTGGCACGTCCTCCTTTTGGGTAGCGGCATGTCTCCTATAGAGTATAAGACATAGCTGGTTAACGGTCATGAAAAAAACATCATTATATTAAAAAAAAAACAAAAAAAAAATTATCTTAGACGAACAATTCTTTCTGATATCAATGCTTTATTAATCCCAGCTTTTAACCTTTCTTCCTTGATGGAGTGCAAAACAACCCCTTGAAAATCCACCGCACAGCATCCCTAAACCAGAAAGAAAGAAAAAACAAGGGGTGATCATCCATTTTGTCTTCAATGGAGGAAAGGAAAGGAGATCCGAGAATTTACGTCGCCGTAGCTCTATTTTCTGCATGTCTTGTTTCTGGTGGAGCTCTTCTTGCTCTTTACATGTTGCTTCCTATAAGCAACGTAAGATCATGGTATGCCATCTCAGGAATGATTCTAGTCGCCGCGCCATGGGCATTTTGGTTTCTAACCTACATTTACCGATGCCTTAGACCTGTTGACTATACAGTTTCTGAACCAAGCAAATCCCCTGTAGGATCCCCATTTTCGCGCAAAGAAGGTGCTGCAATGTCACCAAGGAATCCACCGTTTGATGATGAGCCCCGGAGGCCTTCTTCAGATGGTATACGCCACGTGCATTTTGGTGGGGTGGTGGTTGTGAGCGATGACGTTGATAACAACGGTGGTCACCAAGGTCGACTTACGCATTCAGAAATCAAGCATGAAGAGGAGAATTCTGTTAATTCCAGGGAAAGTGAGATCCCTCTACCTTTCTTTGTTGTCCCAAAAAAGTGAAAGTGGCAAAGGTGCAAGGATGTTCTAATTCATTTTCTCCTGGATTGCTTCATTAGGCCGTTCATTCATGTATCCAATGAAGGCATGGACCATGATAACCAATTAGAAAAGAGAAATGGCCTGAAATATGAAAATGCTAGAAAACGTTTTGGTAGGCAAGGAGTGAAGGTATATATATGACCCAATGTTCAAATGCTACAAGACCGAACGAGAAAGAAGACTTGGGGGGCTGCGATATAGAGGTAGGAATATTTTGATTAGATTGTAAGTTTCATCCATTCTTTTTTAATTTTTTTGCCTTTGTATGCAAGGACAATGCATGTAACATTTTGACCATCAGAAATGGGAAGAAAAGGAGAATTTCTGGTAAATTCAGCGTATGCTTTGATTCGTCTTTCATTCTAGTGAATGTATGTTGAACTGGTTCCACTACTTTTGATTTTTGATAATTCTAAATGATATTAATTTGAATATTTAAAAGTAGATGATATAAAATCAATAATTATTTAACTTTGAAACTACCAAAAACTTGGAACATTCTGATCTAGTCTTTATGGTTATGGCAGTCCTTGAAGTTCTCAATAAACCCATTAGGACAGGAATAATCTTCTTTGAGAAAGCACATGAAATGAGAACTTTCTTTTGTGGTAGGTTGAGACTTTCCATTGATAACTATGTTATTTTCTTCTGTTTGTCATGCTAGATGATCGATTAGCTGCATAATAGATTTTTTTTTTCTTTGGATTGATTCCTCTCCTCCATTCAAGATATTCGATCATTTTGATGAATTGAACAATTTAGCTATCCAATTAAGAATTTCTCAAATGCACAGCACCATGAAATATGAAAAAATGTTCCTGCTTGCAGTGAATCTGTTCATGGAAGATCTGTTGCAAACTTGTTCCTGTTAGTAATTGTCTGATGATCATAACTCCCTATTCTTAGCCTTCTGTACGTAGTGATAGAAAGCTCTTGAGAATATTTCGGTACCCCTGACAAAATCCAGAAAACTACCTCCAGTTTACACAACAGGATATGTTTTACCTGAAGTCTTCTTCCCTTGTTGGGTTTACTCATGACATGAATGCCTAAGTTCGTGTCATTCATTTGAAGTATCAGTACTCTTAACTCTAAATAACTTGTTTTTAAATTTTTGAATCTGTTTTTTAAGGCATAATCCACTCTATAGTCAGTGCTCTTCCACCTATCCTAGCCTGCATGCCTAATACATGAATGATCATGAAAGCAAAGGAAATATATATCACCAGCAATGAAGCCCGCTAATGCACCTATAGCAACGAAAATCACTATCAACAAGTGCTCCCACTGGTGATTTAATTGAGGCAAACAGCGCACATTCAATCGAAGGCAAACTATTATGCAAGCTTCGATCAATGAATTCTCTCGTGTTAAAAAATTACTAGAGCACATATACTTCTTTCTTATTAATTAAACTTTCGTAATTTGCAGCTGTACTGATTCTTAATTGCATTTAAATTCCTGTACAGTTCAACTCAAGTAATAGTGGGTGACGCGAGATAAATACGATTTGAAGAAAAGTATATATAAAAAAAAAAAAGAGAAAGAAAATCTAAAAGCTCAAGAAATGAAAAGGAAAAATTGGGGGAAGAGAACAGAAATCTATAATAAATCATATATATAAAACCTTAATCAGAATCAACAACTAGGCTTATTAGGGCTGGGTATTTTTGGTTCAGTTCAGTTTTGAACCAAAATAAATAATAAAACTAATTTTTTTTTTAATTTTTTAAATTAAACTAAACTGAAAATCAATTCAAACTGATTAATTTCAGTTTGGTTTTTTTTTTTTCAAACCGGTTCAAACTGATAATTAGTGACTGGGAAGACGAACCCGATGTCTTTCTTCTCATCTCCTCGTTTAGAATATCATTCTTAGCTAAGTCGTTGATATTACACCAGTAGAGATTGAGTTAGACAGTGACAAAACGTCTCCTGTAAGTTTGGTAAACTTTCAAGAAGCCATAATCCATGTATCTCATCATCGAAGTAAATATTCATTATAGTCAACTCATTAATAATTTCTTGAAACTTGTTAAAGTGATGTTTCATCTTGGTATCTCAATGATATCATCTGCTTTATCGCATATAATTTTAGATTTACAGAGAGTAAAGGGAAAAAAGAAAAATCAAAGCAAAGAAAAGTAAAAGTAATCAAAGTAGAGACTAGAGACTAGAGAGTAAATGGAAAAAATTCAAATTAGACACTAAAGTGAGAGGTAAGCGAGAGGTATGCAGAGAAGGGAGTAAAATAAGAGTAAAGGAAGGGAGAGATATGCAGAGAACGGGGCAGCTGATTACTAACTGTGATTTTAGGGTTAGAAAACATTGGTGCTAAGTGGTTAAATTAGTTCGGTTTAATCAGTTTCAGACTTTAAAAACTGAAATCGAATCAAATTGGATTTTTTATTAGATTTTTTATGATTTTTTAATTAATTAATTTAGTTTTTTTAGTTTGGTTTTTTTTATTATTTTTTTTATTTTCTCAATTTATCAATTTTTTTGCTCATTTCTAAAACTCATATTCCACCATTAGATAAATAAAATTGTCTAACAAAATAACTTAAATTAATTAAACTTAATAATAAAACTAAATAAAAATCCAATAACAAGCTGATTTAAAAATATTCAATCTCACAACCAAAAAGTGACGGGTTATATCCTCCATTGTCTTTGACCATACATATATGTGCACTTGTGTCTTGAGTATGTTTCCCCACCAACTCTCCCGAGTTGGAAAAACTCAACCTCATCTAGTATAGCTTTTATGGCTTTAATAATACTCAAATGTCAATATCAAGCTGCTATAATATCTCTCTAGTAATTAATGTATAGTTCTAATCAAGTCACATTGCTTAGGAACTTAGAAACTGGGATTCATTAAACCTCATCATCCCTACTAAAAACAATTTGTGCATAAGAAATAGATTAATATATTCCTTTTGTGTTGATGATAAGGGTAATATGGTAAAGGTTTTAAGAGGATCATCAGGGATATGTTATTGTCTTTTATATATAATTAGATATTTTGTATTAAAAGTAAAGCAAATACCAAAGTTTGGTAATAAGTTAATGGTATAAGTATTTGATTCAATCATTTATAACACTTTGAATGGTTTTACATTACTCATCTATAATTTCTTATAGGTTTAAAAAAGAAAGCACTTAGGTTTAATATGTATCATGAAATAATCTTCAATATTAAATATATCATAATATTTATGTAAATTAGCTTGAAGATTGTATTGTTCATTAATTACTTGATTTTTTTTTATAATATCAATGATTGATACTTAAAAGTGTATTTTTATCAAGTTTTTATATCATCATTTTGCACTTGAAGTATCAATAACTCCTTAACTAAAGCATGTTTTATAATAATATATCTAATAATATAAGATACCTTAAATTTATGGTAAATGTTCATTTTAAATGCAGACCTATCACATAAATGAAAGGATTGATTGATGAATTTAAGAACTGAAATTAAAAAGACAAAGAGATGGCCAAATTTAGAAAAGAGATGCCGATGCAGTCCATACCGGTATACTGTTTGGTAATTGTATCATATCTAGAGCAATAGATCTCAGATTTAGGTTCACTTTATATGGATGGAAATATAAGACATAGGCCAACAACTTTTATAGAACCCAAGATCTAAAAAGGTCATTTTCAAGTCCAAATTATAGCAACAACAAAGAAGTCTGAATCTGTCTTCCAGCCCGAGCACTGTTCAGGTTTGGCCCATATCTGGAGTTTTAGAAGTCTAAATGAGCTGAATTGTTTACACAAGAATGCTGAGATAATTTCCTACAACTTTCATGTTTTCAAGTGGTTTCAATTTTGACGTTATCAATGACGTTTTGGGCAGACAACAGAAGATAAGGATTGTCACTAAGTCAAGAGGTGGCCACCTACTCATCAATTAGTCATGAAATCAATAGTTCCTAATTTTGGCCTATAAAAGGAGGCATTTGCCATGCATTTAGGCATCTTGGTCTCTAGATCAAGATCATGCTCTTGTTTTCTCTCTTTGTATTTTTTTTGTAATGTTTATGTTTGCTTTCATTAATAACAAGTTTATGCCTTTCATTTCCTTTCCTTTACTTAATTAACTTTTATCTTATTTATGTTCTTATTTTGTTTATTTATTTTTCTTTCTTTCATTATGTCTAGCTAAGTTTATTATGTCAAGGTGAAAAGGTTACACTAATGGTGTAAGAATAAGTATAGTGTAAACTCAATATGGACTTTAATGTTTGATACTAACATGTTTTGTATTTGTTATCTTGTTCACTCTTTAATACTTTGCTTGTTAAATGACTAATCTTGATTTATGTTGTATAACACTTGGTACACCAAATGCTTGGTACTTTCATAGCCCATACTGTATGGTATAACCGACACCTGAGCTATGAAAGGAACTTGATTTGTTGTTAACATAAGTTATAATCATGAATGCTTGACGAGATTTACAAGTAGTGCTTGATGAGATTTACAAGTATTAGCATTAATCGAATAAGATGACTCATGTAATCATGTTAACAATCTATAATCTAATTGGAACCTCCTTTGTGTGTGGTTTCCAATTGAATAATAAGAGTTTATACTATACTTGTTTGACAAACCATTAGTGGATCCTTTAACCTTGACATTTGTTATTATCATTGTTTAATCCTTACGTTAATCTTTCATCTCAAAGGTCTCATCAACTTCTTCTTTTTCTTCTTCTTCTATTATTATTACTACTACTACTACTACTACTACTACTACTACTGTTATTATTATTATTACTATTAATACTACTACTGTTATTATTATTGTAATTATTGTTATTATTGTTACTGTTATTGTTGTTGTTTATAATTGTTGTTTATAATTTGTACAATTAACCTCCGTGTGGTTCAACCCCGGTCTTGCCGGGTTATTTATTACTTCGACACTCCTGCACTTGGGAGAAG